ATGATGTCTGGCAACATTGAAAGGACACCTTTCTAGCCGCGGTCTCTGACTTTGTCCCTACTTAAAGAGTTAGGGGTCATAACCCACCTCCTTGGATAAACAGCTCTATTCTACATAAAATTAAACGAAATGAAAGTGTTCGGAGGAAACTCAAAACATCTCCAACCACGTACCTCAGAGAGAAATGTAAAGCTCTGCGATCAGAGGTTAAACAACTCCTACGCGATAGCCATGAGAGATTTTTAGAAGACCTCGAGAAAGAAGCAAAGGATAAACCAAAACGCCTCTAGACAGTCCTAAGACATAAAGATGAATCTCGATCGGTTCCAACACAGATGTCAATGACTGATGTAGGCACTTCATCCAGTCCTTCAGGAGTTGCTAACTTATTTAATCGTTACTTTGCATCAGTATTCAACGAAAGTTCAACCCCCAGCAATGCACCTGTACCAGTGACCCACCAATCTTAACAGATCTGAATTTGACGGTGGAGGAAGTAAAAGATTGTCTATGTTCCTTAGATTGTTCAAAGGCCACTGGTACTGATTGAATACCAGCAAAACTACTCAAAGAAGCCACTGGTGTCATTGCACCTTCACTTTGCTTGTTGTTCAATTGATCCATCGGCTCTGGTACCATACCAAAAGACTAGAAACTGGCCAACATAGTCCCTGTTCTCAAAAAAGTTTATTTCCAACAAGTAGAGAACTATCCACTAATATCTCTATTACCCACAGTTTCTAAAGTACTGGAAAGATGTATTCTGAATATAATTAAAACTCATATATGTAACCGAGTGAGTAAACATCAAAATGGCTTTTTAAAAGGAAAATCCTGTACCACCAACCTTATCGAAACACTGGATTGTATTGGTCGCCTGCTTGATAGAGGAAGTCAGATTGAAGTCATTTATCTGGCCATGTCAAAAGCCTTTGACAAAGTGAACCACGCCCAACTCGTGTCCAAGCTTCATATCTTTGGTTTTGGAGGGAAACTATTCAACCTAGACTTAAATAATGTCAGATCGAAAAGTCACTGCCAGTCCATCACGCGTAAAACCAAGCCACTAAACACTGCCTACGATATGAATGAAGCTATGTTGGAGAAAACAAGTCACGAATGTGATCTTGATGTCTGGGTTTCCACTGACCCAATATGGAATCAGAGCAATGCTCGGTGCATGCAAACAAGTTGCATGGGTTTGTTAAACGATTTACGTGTCATATACAAAGTACCGATGTAAGAAGATCAATCTATTTAACCATCGTTAGACCACATCTGGGCTAAGCGAAACAAGTTTGGGCACCACAATCTATTTATTCATCTCAAATCTAGAAAAAATATAGAGATGGGCTACAAAATATACCTTGACACTACCACTCTCATGCTGTCAGAGTTATGAACAACGGCTAGAAGCCCTTTCCTTACTACCTATCAGCTACTGGCATGAGTACTTAGATATGTTACTGGATATAGACCCTACAATTGTTCCTATTGCTCGTTCTACAAGACATAGAGGATTGTCTGCCAATACGGCTGTTACCAAATACTCTGTACCTAAATGCAAGACTTCAACTTTTTAACGGTCATTTATTGTATGAAAAATAAGAATCTGGAACACACTGCCAGACTAGCTTAACCTAAGTGTGAACAATGTAAATGACTTCAAACGTGCTTTGATGTGTTATTATTCAACTGCACTCCAAGAGATCTTTGACATTGACTATCCTAGGACTTATAAAACTATCTATGCAAAATGTAATTCATATCGTAGTCTGAAAACAACACCAACTCCATGCTGTTCTTAATTATTAATTACTGATGTAATCTTTTTACTACTTTAATTTTCCTGAGACCACAGTAATTAGTTATCGCTGTTGTGGTTGCCTGCCCATTACTGTTATGTAATTTACCCATTTCCTACATTATATGTATTGTTGGCAAAGCCAGTAAAATAAACTTCTAATGATATCACAGATTTCAAAAAGGAGTACACTGGGATGGATAGATGATTAGTATCGGTGTTTCTCTGGATTTTATCTCCTTCTCCTCTAAACAGTATCTTTCCTCAGATGATTGTTTAAGTGTTACTGAATGCTTGGATTTTCCTTGTGACCTGAAAGAGGAAGAACAAGTAACTTGTCAAAAGTTGTGTCTCAGCAGCATCTCAAACATCATCACCTCTTGGCAAAGCAACAGATCGCGATCAGTAGGCATTAGGACACGAGCGGCAAAGCCTCCGGGATCCGATTGGGTGGGCAATGTGCGAGGGGGGCTGCAAGAATTCTGGCATGAGACCACACCCCTCAAGAACCTTTTGCACACTCGCCAGCTTGAAATTCGCAGGCTTAGCTGCAAATACCGCAGCACAATACATGAGAGCTTGCAGCGTCGCTTTTTGAGTGAATACCATTTTTC